TGTCGTGCTTTCTATGATTGTTTTTCAATTTACTTATCATTATCTCTAATAATATTGAATTTAATATGTAAATTGACTTATATACTTTTTTAATTATTTCTTTATGAAAGAGAAATATAAACTTGATGCGTATGGTTATTAAAATATTTGATATTTAAAATTACATCGGATTAAAATAAATTTTTATTTTGTTAAGCAAAGTGCGATTTAAAAAAAAAACGCGATCAAGGAATCGATAAATAAAACTTGCAAAAACTGATCGCCAACTCCCTGTGTTTTATACACTTGCTTATATATTCTGTAATTATATAGTTGCAGTTATGAAACTAAATTTATCTGCAATATATATACATCCTTTGACAAAAAAATATCCTCCTTGCCTCCGTCATCGTGGTATTAAAAAACATCAAAGTCTCAAGAGGTATATAACGAGCATTACATGCTGAAAGCAGAAACATCGCATTACCCAATCTTTATTACTGTTCCCTGTTCTATTATTTTGCGCTGATTAGCCGTCTTAAGTTCGGGGGGGCCCTCGCAGGCCCTGTCGAAAGGCAACGGACGTTATAACTTCCTGATGTGTGGCGTGATAAAAAAAGCGTGAAAGAAAGCGAGACGGCGGCTGAATCAGTACTAGCGCTACTTTGATCGAATTCGGGTCACAAAGAGCTCGCTTCGTCACCGGTTGAATAGCCCTGGCTACAAGGAGGTTGGATTAGGTGAGGCTAAGTTACGAGGGTGGAGGGGCCCTAGCAGTAAGACGGCGTCTTGAATGGGGCACGTGCTACCATCGTCGTGATCTTTGGGCCTTACGTCTGGCAATCTGTCTCTCTCTCTCTCCTTCCTTTCCATTTGTACGTTTGCCCGTCCATTTGATCGTCTAGAGACGGATCTAGGTCTAGACTAGGGAACTCCTTGATGTTTCTTTTGGCTCGCCTCGCCAGCTGCTCCGCCAAAGTTGCGATTCCTTCGTGTCTCTCTTACGTGTACGAATCTTTTTATATATAAACCAGGCCATCCTTTTGACAATAGTGACCATTACGGATACATCATAGCGTCGCGATTTCGCTTTTTGATTACTGATTCGTATCTTACGCAACATACATCTCGAAATGTACAAGAAATTGATAATCGTTGTGTAATGAATATTGTCCGATGAAAATTAAAAATATAAAAACTACAAACAAATTAATTTGATTATTACAGAAGAAAATTTATTTATTTATTAGAATTAGCGAAAATGTTTTCTTTGTGTGCTTTTTTTAAGTAAAATAATTAATTAAATAATAATCTAAGTTAAATATAATTAAAAATTGTTTATGAAAGATACTTTGTGCTTCATGGTCAATGTATTATCTTATTTTACGTTACATGATTTTATTTACAATAATTTATTCTCTTATCACATATCAAAACTGTTTAAATGTAAAAGCATTATTATTTTAATGGTTTTTGTTAATATAAATTTCAAGAAATTACATACAAATCTTTCGTATCAAGACGTGGTTCACTTCAAGACGCATCGTCTTATTGAAAGATGGCGGAGTCGCAAGTCTGTACACTCTAAATTTCTTGCAATGAAATTTCACTCTAAGAGAGTGAAAATGCAACCACCCTTGAAAACAAGTGAAAATATTTTACTTCTTAAAAAAGAGTGAGAATTTTCATTCTTTTTAGAGTGCATTTTCACTTTCAAGGAGTGAAATCTCACTCCAAAAAAGTGTGATTTCACCTTTGAAGTGAAAATGCACTCTAAAAAGAATGAAAATTGTCATTCTTTTTCAAGAAGTGAAGGGTGGTTGTATTTTCATTTTCGTGGAGTGAGATTTCACTGTAAGAAATTTAGAGTGTAATACGAGAGAAAAGAGAGTCGCGCGCGTGCGAGGGTGCTCGCATGCCAGGACACAAATGCGTGCGCACTACGCATCTGTCCCCTTTAGGGCAAACGCATACACGCACAAGCGTTGTTCGCGCGCATTGATCGTTACGCGAAACGTATTTATACGTATGTGCGTAATCCAGCCCTTAGGCATCCGTACGTATGTGCAGGCGTACATGCGTGCGCACGTGCGTGCGTGCGAGTTTGGGCATGCGAGAGCTACATAGTGATGATATATGGCGCATATATACAATACGGTCGGTACATCCAGCCCCTAGTTGCTATGCTACTGGTATACGTACGGCAAGTTATGGCGTATAGCGCGTATTTCTTCACTGTATTGGTATTTCTTCACTGACATACTCTGTCGACAGAAGTCGCAATCCTGAATAGATACTTTCGTTTATCACGACGTTCCGCGACAGCCGCTGAAATGCAATAAATCGGCCGATAACAAATTGCCGCCAAGCGGCAGTCTACTTCGACGCGATAACCAGAATTGCGTGGGGATTTATGATCGAATGGTATCTATATAGCAGGCCATATCGAAACTTACGATTTCACTTCGTTGTACTTGGAATTTCAAATGTATATCCGTTTCGTTAGATTCGTTAAATTATAAATAATATGAATAACAATAATTTTTACATATAATTATAATATTATGCATAAATGAAAATTAAAAGTAAAAAAAAGTGTTTTATCAAGAGAGTAATAATGTGTCGAGAGATATAATGAAATAATAAACAAAATCAACAAAATAACATTTAATTTTGTAGAAATATTTTAAGTTAAATTACTTTATATTTAAATTATACGTAGAATAAGTTGCAAAATTGATTTATATAAATATAAAAAATTATTGAAAATTCTAACTGTAGAGCTATTAAATTTTAGACGTAAAATACAAAATTACGAATGCCTGCGGTGGATGTATTAGCTATTTTCACAGCATTAAATGGATCTATTATCGTAGTGTATTCAATCGTTAACTAGCATTGCTGTTACATTAGCCCGCGTAACGGCAATGATGGAATTTCTATACAACGTATTGACGTATTACAAACAAACTTCGTATCGAACGCTACCGCCGTCATCACCAATAAATCAGGAATAATAATCCAGTGAAACAAGTCCAACCTCTTGAAGCTACTTTCACTTCATTGTATTCCGCATTTACAATTTTGTACGCAATGGCAAAATACGAATAACAAATCAATCGATTTCGAAATCTCTTCATGGAGAATGAAGTGTTGAAGAATTATTAATTATAATTTCAGAGAAAAAAATTTAATTTTTATAATATAAACATTATTGTTAAACAAAAATAATTTTAATTGTGATTATCACAGTACTTGATGAATAATGATAGTTTGATGTTATTTATCAAACAATAGGAATTCACATACCTGGCTTACTCTTAGATATATAATTCTTGTAATTTGACGTTTTTTTTTCCTTTCTTTTTTCACATTACAAAAGCAATTAAGAATAGAATTAGCTTATTGCTTTTTGATACTGTTAGAAGCTCAATTAATTTATTACACATTAATTATTTTGCACGCAATTTATTTATAGTTAACAGACTGTGTCACTACAGTTATAACATTCAAATTAATTAATGGGTGATAATTGATACAAGAAGCTAATACGCACACACATAATCTTTCCAATAATGTTGTGTAAATTTAATAAAGATCCTATATAATTATAAAGCAATAATTACATATAGACTAATAACCTTATGCGTGTACACTAATTTTAGGCATATAAAGTAAGACAGTTTTACGTGTTACATATAATATAACAATGAACGTTGCCTGCGCAAAATGGCCAGCTACTTGTTATGCTACTGGAATACCGAGCCGGGGTTACAAATGCTACTACGCGACGACATTGGAGTTCAGAATTTCTCGACAACGGCGACGGGTTGACCGTATCTCGTTGTATTTTAATGTCATTCCAACTGTCTCTTCGTTGGCACGGAGATATCCCGCTGCGTCTGCAGGATTAACCGATTACACACTCGTTCATCCTCATCCGAACGTATGCGAGAAATCCTCATTTGGACTAATTTCTCTTCCTTTTATATAGTATTTGACAGCAATGCAGATTACGTGCTTCGATAATGTTATAATTAAGTTGCTCGAGATATGACGCAAAATTCTAAGGTTTAAACTGATAACAGAAGATTATATTTCCTTAAAGATTTGCGTACCTCTGAATCATAAAGCAATAATTGGAATGTGGAATGATAAAAAAGATTTTAGGAGTTTTAATTATCTAATATCTGAACATCTTTTAATTAAATGATTACATATCTTTTATCAACAATATTTATCAGTCATATCTGTTGGAATCAAACTTAGCGATAAAATTGTATATAATAACAAATTTAATTATAATTCCAACTTTCATAAACTATTGTTTTGCGCACTGAGAAAAATGAGTCAAATGAATTTGTTATAGGAACAAAAAAGGGATAACAAATGTGATAGTTTGGAAAACGGATCGATTAATTATTATTGCGAATAATTTCTCATTATTCGTTAACGTAACAAATAATACATGATTTACGATATAAATCAAAATAATCAGTATTGCTAGCAAATAAAAGTCTATAAAAAAGTAGGTTAAGTTTTACATAAATTGTTTCTATTAGTAATAATTGATTGGAATAACAGGCTAGTATATCAATCATAACAAATTAAAACAATATAATTTGTTGTTTATATCTATGAATCATTTGTTAAAGGTATTGGTGGTAAAGGTTTGTTAAATTTACATAATTTCTCAGTGCGAATGACGCACGAACATTATTCGTAACTTATATTTAAAATTTAGCGTTGCAATATAAAATTCTACGAAATGATTTTTTTCTGTTTATTCTTTTTCCTGTTTATATAAATATATTTTCTGTTTTTTATGTATCATTTCATAAATTTTATATTTTTTATTTCTACGAAATTATATTTTTACGAAATATTAGATAAAGAGAAAATACATATCTTTGATCTATCTATCGAGGTTATCTTCGATATGTGATAATCTATCTTTGTGACAATATATATTTATAAAAACCGGTCCGTCTTACTTTAATCAGTTACGGCATTTAAATAGATGAGAAAGGTACGTGTTAATGTAACAAACGATACGTTTTTTTTTTAAATTCTTGAGTTGACTAGACAACAGATTATGAGGGGTAAGCACTTGTATTTTTATAATAATGCACAGATTATTGAACGATGAAAATATATTTATATTGTAAATACCGAGAGATTTTTATTAATTGAAATTTCTATAAATTATAACATATATTAAAAATAATTAACATTTCTCTAATTATAATAAAGTCGATTATATTACGATTTAATTGTACTGTAAATGACATCCTATAATGTGGTTCGATACAGGAATATACGTAATTGTCATCACCTTCTTGGCATTTTGGGCTAACAATGAGGTTATTGCAAAGGAAGATCAACTTGAACAATCGATTTGGAAAGAAGAATTCTACGCGGATGACATTCCGACAAGATGTCCATATCGAGAGAACACAACCACGACCAATATTCCACATGAAACCGATTGCACGAAGTTTTACAAGTGTCTATGGGGTAAAAGAATCTTGATAGATTGTCCTCTGATCGCGGGAACCCAAACAAAGCTGCACTATAATAGACGCGAACAGATCTGCGATTGGCCGTGGTTAGCCGATTGCGTTAATTGTCCTTTCCAAAACAAAAATGGCAGTTGGCCGCAGTCCAAATTATCTTCCCCAATATTGAATTGTAGTACGTACTACGTGTGCATAAACGGTACAAAGTATTTGCAACAGTGTCCTCCAGGTACGTGCTTTAGCCGCACATGCCAAGATTGCATCGTAAATCGTTCGGGTGGAAATTGCGATCTGTAATGTCATGTAACGACAAATATTCTCACAGATATAATTGCAATTGTTATTATGTGTGTATCAAGAGTGAGTTATTTAAAGTTTTGCGATGGCGGTCTTTATTTTGCGTTACTCCTGCAAAATTAGGCATATTATACTTTCGTCCAAAAAATCAACAAAAACAGTTTTGATTAAAAAACTATAAATGTCATGTATCAGGTTATCAATCGGACTAATTATCTGAACTTAAAATAAACTCAGAAAATAGGAAAAATTCTTTAGAACGATTTTCTATTCTATCCCTTAGTAAAATGATTAAACGAGGCACAATAAGATATACAGGGTGTTTCCAAATTAAATGGCAAAACTTCGGGAGCGTGTAGAGGAGTAAAAAACTAAGAAAAAAAGTCCTATAGACATATGCTCGTTTTTGCTCCGTTTCAGAGAAATCGAAAAAAAATGTTTACATTTCTTGCCATATCTAGCACCGACATATTTGATTACATTTTCCACTTTCTGTTATGAATTTGTCAGTCGCTCTTTGAAAGCCTTTAACAGTAGATGAATTTTGTCTTTTGCAATATGCCGCGTACGTATTCTAATAGTGAATATGCTGATATGGTTTTTGTATACGGTTTCTGCAACGGTAATGCTTTAAAGGCGGTGCGAGAATATGCACGACGATTTCCAAACAGAAGAGTGCCAAACCGAAGAGTGTTTATGTTGACATTTAATAGATTGCGAGAGACTGGA